CGATGATTGAACTAAGGTGAGTCGATGATGATTGCCTGTCTGCTGTTGATATACCTGGTGTCCCATTACATCCTCATCTCATATGATTGAATATGACGCAGCATGTTATTAAACATCCTGGGTATTATTAGCGATCCCCTAGCGTAAGCATCGTTTCTCTTCATTTCAAAGATGAAAACCTCTCCAAATTGCTGAGCTGCACAAAAGAACGGAGGCCACTCTGATATTGTAATTACTGAAACCTTGGATGTATAATTTCAACCAAACCTATTCACAGTATAAGCATATTTTACACAAGAAAACAAGTGTATACGGCAGGCCATGAGATAATCGTGACTGTGCGTGAACGCAGTCAGGCGCATCCAAGTGAGACGGGGTCACCCACACGTAATATGAATATCGTAATAGTATGGCGCTGGATGCTGCATACAGCCTATCTAGCTAGTAAGAGCTACACGTGCGTCTGGCCAGTACCGTATTCGGGTCATTCCATATGCACTCAGGCCTTCTATACTGGCCATCTTGTCATATCCATATCATCATTTTTCTCCAGTCTCCGGACGGAGCAGCTTCAAGTCCTCCTGACACCCACTATGGATGGAGAACATCACCCCTCCTCCCTCGATGAGAGGGGGTTAGTCAAGGCGTAACTTGATACTGAGCCAGGGTGATGAAGTCGAGAGCTGTCCGGTGAGTCGGTGACGCGAATCATCCGAGGTCGCTCCGTTAAAATTGGGTAGGCTTATGAGTTCTAAATATGTTGTGTGTTTCGGGATATTCAACAACTCCTAGCCATTATGTAGCTTTGATGATCACGAATCTTGTCTCTTCAGCAATCACACCAACGATTCATTTCATCTTATTTTGTCATAACCAAGGAGAAAGCCTTTTTAGACATAACGTACCTGATGTTAAGAACTAGACAATATGTATTCTTTGACCACAGGTGGAGAGTCTGTAATTGTGACTAGAATGGCTTGAACATAATTAAAACACGACTCGTTCTCGTTGTACTAAAAGTTCATTATGGAGGGATTCTGCATATCCCGCAGAAAATAAATTGCCCACGAACGCCCGCACGATATGATCAACGAACAGATGCTTCGTACATAAGAATGATTTTTTGGGGTTCGTTTCTGGTGACACACTGCAAACGATTATACTGGGTTTTTTTTACATGATGACCCTAGCGGATTTTTTTTTTTGCCATTGAACGATTGTAGCAAACTATCAACTGACCTTTAACCACCTCGTTTCATCTAACCATAACCGATCTTACTAATCAACCACTGTGACCATCCTAAATTTTGGTGTTATATTTTTTACATGCGCAGTATGTTTAATGAGCGATATTTCACTGAGTCTTGATTTTAAAGTTTACACCAATCATGAAATAAACCAGGAATAATAGATAGAATCTACGAGACATCAACCATCCTAGTATTTTCATGAGGGTTTTGCATGTTGCAAGTTCCCCAGCTTTTCAATTACTTTTTTTCCCGGCGATGTTGCTCCAGTTCTTATTGGTACATGTATAGATTTAACTGCACTTGTAAGTTTCTATCTTTACGCTGCAAACCAATTTAATATTTTAACTGTATCATCTTCATGTGTATTTTTTGGATTTGGCTAATGCGGAGATTAGAAATCCGATTCTGGAATATTGCTAAGGTTACAAAACCAAGAATAGTATTTGACCTTCCAGTAACCTGGATTAGCGACCGGACAAACGGTTTACCACGACCACCACATTGTGATAACCAGGTTTGTTATCCATACTTAGCCCGGATTGAAGAATCAAAAGTGCTTATTACCTCAGACTGGACGCGATTACAATCACCTCGAACTCATTATAAAGATGAGAGGTCGACATCTTTCTCTGTGGGGGAGATGACCAATGCTGATTCAAGGCGTCTTCTTTGTATGCTGCAACCTTCTCCCCCGTTCCACGCCGTTACCTCCTTCCATCATTTACTGTAATGAGATGTCCAGGGTTAACACCTCGATCCCATAGCGTTAGTCATAGTGTACTGCACTTATTCTGCCTGCATCCCATCCCGTAGAACCAAAATTAATCACCTACTTATTCTGTTATTGGCAGAGTTATGTTTCTTGGAAATTTGACATTATTTTTTTACAGACGCAAGTTTTTTTTAATGAACTTTGGAAGCTTGGACAGGGGAGTTTTGTTCGACTTGTTAGCAATCCTCTCCTTACATTTTGGCCGAGTTAAAGGGAAAATACGACATTTGCAAACATCAAAATATAAAACTACCAAATTCTTTTGAAATACCTTGCTGGCCTGTTAGTGAATGCCAGTCTAAAGCATCCTGTAAAATCATGGCACCTGGTATACTGTCATTTTCAAGAAAAGTGGTATTTTTGTATCAATTTCCAACGCTGGTCGGCCGACCAGCTTTGGGAAAAAATGGCTTTTTTTCAAATACTGGCCCCAGTTGACCATATTTAGTTAGTCCGGTTTTGTTTGCAATCGATTACACACATATGAACGGGTACAGGCCAGCTAGACTGGTTCCCTGACCTTACAATTCTCCAACGTCTATAAATTGCTCCGTTTCAGGAAAATTATTGTTTTTTTTTATTTTTTTTATAGCATCTACGAACCCAATACGTAAAAAAGTCAGTGTAACAATATTTGCTTTATATTACCAACCCTTTACCAATTCCCTTTAAGTGGATGCTTTGGTAGGACCATGGAGGAAGGAATAGTGAATGTGTTTTAAGGTAAAGATGGACAGAAGTAGCGATTGCTAGCGATGTCTCTCTGTTTGGATGGCTAGTTGGTCATTATGATATCTCGGGTATGTTTGTTGTTTTGTTAGTTGGCTGGCTTGCTGTCTGGCTTGTTGGTAATTGTAGGTTTTTTTTGGTGGTTGGTTGGCGGTTGCTTCATTGGTTCTATTCACTTAAAATGCCATTCAGGTTGACATTGTGTTAACTGTGTTCATTGTTTGGAATGTCTTGCTTGTTCGTCCCACCAAAATGTGTCTAATACCGGAATTGATAACACTGTGTTGCCATTCACTCTATGCTAATTTCACCATCGTCCCATCAGATGAAATTGTTAACGGGTAAAAGTACATGGCAACACCACTCCTAGCTGTACCCTGGCATGACTGATGATGTGGCGATCTCTCTGTAAGTAATGTGCGAAGTTACTGTTCGTCATCGCTGCACCATGTGCGCGCCATACCACGCGCAGTGCCGTGTGTAGCACAGTAGGAACCAGTTAACGACGGTGACCAGTCATGCATGATGACATCGACTGGAGGCAAGTTAGTCGAAATTGACGATTTAAAAAAAGGAAAGAATTCAAGGAAAAAGTGTCCGAGTGCTTTGACCACTAGTAAGATTTTATTTATACGCAACATAACGAGAAGTATTTTTGCTTTAAAAAAATTGCTAGTTACGAATTGCTAAAAATAGAAGAAGAAAAGTTTAATAGGGTTGGATTGTGTCTTTAGGTGCCACTGCACCAGGATGTAAAGGGAAACACTTTACATGTATCATCTTTTTGGTGTCAAAAAGATGCATCTTGTTTTTCAAGATGTCGTATGGAAAGTAGGCGTTGTCCTTCACAGACTGGGTGAGTATCTGTTATTTTCTTTGTCAGTCGGTGACCGATGAATCGGAATGCCACGCTAAGAAATACCAGACAAGCCGGGATCGATATGAGCTGGGTTTTCAGGGACGTCTCAGAGTCTTTCTTCCACGGCCGTTTACCTCTTACCCACCACGCTAGACTGGACAAACCCAAAAGGGTAGGATAAAGACTGGCCTCCACAGGCGCTGTGATATGGCATGGGCTCTTGTGCCGAGTTTACTCCTGTGAAAAAATAGAGATGGTGGATAAGCGCATGCCCGCGGTGATCTGCGCATGCGTGTTTGGTCCCGCGCATGCGTGTGTGGACCCGCGCATGCGTGGGATCAACGCAGGGTTAATTCTGCACGATGAAAATCGGCTTGCCATGCCGAGCGTAGCGTTTTTCCCAGTCCAGATCTTCGAAAATAGCAGGAGGTCGGCAAGCCTTTCAGATGTGTTTTCATTCATTCCACATTGTTCATTTTCTCGGGATTTGAATTTGCCAAATCTTCGTTGGGATTCGATTCACTAGCAGATTTCCCATCTTTGCAAGATGGCGGTTGTTTTACTGGATGATGCGCAAGAATCTTCACAGTTTCTGTCTGTTTTTTTTTATTAGATAAAAATAATTATCAAGATTTTTCTTGAGCGTGTTCAGTGCCATTTCCCCCAAGTTTGAATAGTAATATCAGTCTAGTTATACCCATGGAAAAGCTCAATTAGCCATATGTAATTTTTGGATAGTTTGTGAGAGTTTATGATTCAGTGAGGGCTCACTCTTGATCCATCATGATTGAAATGGTCTAGCTTGTTCCCCCCCCAAAAAAAAATAAACGCTGATGACCCGTACTTGCGTAACGAGCCGACTGATGACGATATCGTCGAAACTACGAAACGCATCTACTGTCGTTAAAATTAGAGATTGTACAATGAATTTAACCGCGTGATTATAGGACATAATTTTGTGTTAATTTTAAGGATGCCCGAATATTATGTTAACCAGGAAGAAAGAAAGACCGCAGGAGAAAAGAGCAAGATCATTTTTCATCCCTCAGTCTTCTGCGAATACGACATCCATATTCATGTCAGATGACATGCAACGAAGGTTCCCAAATAGCGCGACTGGTATGTACAGTAGCGGTGCTTGCTCATCCAGCCACGGGCCGAAGGGGGCTTCAGGCCCGGGTTACTAGTCGGGGAAAACACGGTGCGCGGCATCCCCGTAGAAATGAGTGATTTCATATAGCGGAGGTCGTAAAATCTGCATCATTAGGGCCCCAACCTTCCACTGTCTCACGAGGATGCGTTGATGCTGTCTTGGAATATGAAAAGCATCTGGATTATTTGTGATGGTGTCGTCTTAATGAGAGCATTTGTCTTCTCCTATTTATTGCAGGGATGTGTGATCACTGCACGCAAACAGGCTCTGGGTCAGCCTTAAGGGTGGATGGTCAGCCTGAATTATTCATGACAGTCTTAAGAGTCAATGGGCCGCCGTCGACTTCAACGTCTTAGAACAGGGAAAGATGATTACACGAAGAGAGAAAACACAAGCAGTAAGTAATGAAGTAAACAGTGGTAATTATATGCATTCACATCTGCCGTTTACAGATTTGTAAGACGTGCATTTGAATGTGGCAACGTACCATTATATTGTTTTCCAATTAATTCGCTATTGACTGGATAATAAGATTAAGTGTGGATGAAAATTATCCCAAGTGTATATATTTACAATACGATCGTCTTCAAGTCTTCTTGTTTGCGTCTCAACTCTATATAAGGAAACGGCGCGAACCAATGTGGGACCAGACAAGCTTTTTCTGGCATCTTCAGCTTAAGTTAGCGATGATGGATCACAAACTTACTGTATAAGCCATATTTTTTTATTTTTTTTTGTTATATCAATGAATGTCACGTCACCGGAAGCGCACTAATCAGGGATCCAATCAATTTGAGGTAAAATTATAAACTTATATAACCTAATACGGTGGCAGTATAGAATAATAATATTTTATTGTAACAAAGCCATTTCAGGGCATCCCAAAGTGTCTAGAATTATATAGGGACTTGTTACCATTATAGATATCCGGACACAAAGGTAATAATACAGGGTGATGCAAAAAGAAGGAAACCCACTTTTGACAGCAAATTTAAACTACTTGTTGAGCATATTTCATACATTCAATTTAATGGTATTAAAATAATGATCTTTAAATATAAGTGACGAAAAAAATGATTGCAAAAATTCACATTTTGTCTCTGAGATATAGTAGTTTACAAATTTCACGTGCCAAACTTGTTTGTCCACGGACGGCTTTATTCCATCCGCTTGACTGAGCTCCGGAACCTGATTTGAAGACAAAAAAAAACACTACACATAGACTTCCACGTGGACAACAGTGATTTGGTGACTATTAATAACACTGTTCTTGCGATTTTTAAAAAGATTTTTGTCACCACGTATGGTTGAAGAGCTATACTTCAGTACATGAAACAACAAAATCAGTTCAAATAAGTTAAGTATGTAAAAATTCCTGTCAAAAGTGGGTTTCCTTGTTTTTGCACCTCCCTGTGGACGAATGTCAAATTAGCATTGAAGCCGAGGCTGTCATTGCTAAGCCATTGTATGAACCGAGGACCTTTTCTTTTTAAATCCTCTCAACAGAAGACAGCAAAGAGGCCCTCGGTTTCACTGCCAATTTCAAATTCTTCTATATGTCGCCATTTCTACCGGGCCAGTCGTCCGTGAGTGTACAGTATTCGTTGTCCTGGTTGATCTATAAACCCTTTTTATGATAATTATAGCTATCTTGGCAAATTCCCTTTAAATTTTAATTCAGTGTAAAAGGGAATGTGCGAGCGTGAATCTAGCCTATATACTTAAACATACACTTAACCAAAAAAGAAGGTCCCCCTAATTGTTTGTCTAACTCACAAACTACTGAGCACTTCTCGCTCAAGTTACGACTAATCAGTACAAAAATTCCTTAACAATCCAGCCATACTCTTTATTTGACCCAAAACAGTGATATTGTGTACGAAATTATGCAATTTATGACAAATGATACCGAAAACAGTTGCACTTTTTTTATACTTAGTTGTGGTTTACACTCACCTTGCAAGTATACAAAAGTGCCAATTTTTTTCGGTAGCAGTTTGTCATAAATTGCATAATTTTGTACACATTATAACTGTTTTGGGCCAAATAAAGAGTATGGCTGGATTGCTAAGAAATTTCTGTACTAATTAGTCGTTATTTGAGCGAGAGGTGCCCAGTAGTTTTTGAGTTAGACAAAAAAAGTATTAAGGGGGATTTTCTTTTTTGGTTGAGTGTAGTCCGACTTATTTCGCTCCAACTCATGTTATAATCAACCATAGCTTGACTCAAAAGCCTAGTCCGCCTGCCGAGGTTGAATCGCTGGTTACCAATAGCCGCACTCGTAATAAAGTACAGCAGGGAGCCAGGACCAGCACAAAAGGTCAACTCATGCTTAAGCCTTATGGTTGCGGGCCAATAAATAAGCCCAAGATTGCTACACGGGCAAATATGCCCTCAAATTCTCTGCCACAAGAGTATTTTGTAGGCCATGAACTTGAGGGTTTGTAAAAACAAAAGAAGAATGGTCATGGAAGCCGTGAACAGGACTGCAGGCTTGTATTTCTGTGGAATTTGGCCCGTTGAAATTGCTCTATTTTGCAATGCGGAGCATAGGCATAATTTTTCAAAATGGCGATGGGCTTCAGGACTACTTTTAGGGGTGTTCATCTTTCGATGGAAATTTCTCACAAAATTCATGGAATTACCCTCACAAAATTGAACGGAAAAGAAAAGATGATCAAATAAGCTTTAATTTGGTGTGAATCTCAAACACCTTGGTGAGTTGTGACTTTGTTTCCTGATTTTTGGAAGTGGGGGTATTTATCACTGGGGTTTATGCTACTTTATTAACTGTTCTGCAACCTTATGTATGAGGAACAATGCCCTGCGCCGCAACAAGGTCTCTTGGCTACTGCTAAATGTAGTCTAACTCGTTCTTGTTTGTAATTCTTAGACAGGCGCACTTTCGTAAAAGATTATTAAAAATACACCCCTATAACAAAATGACGTATATCTACATCCACGCTAAAGGTATGTGTGGTGTGCGTGCGTCTATCAAGTTCTGTGTAGTCATACATGTTGTTGACGTCATCATTACGTCGGCGGACATTATTTTTTTTTGGGAGTAAACTGTTGAATTTTGTTATTGATTCGAGTTTTGAAGGACCCGGCTAGAATTGGCTCTGATTGTGGCTTACCGAGATCAAAATGCACCTATTGGTACCATGGCAACAAAGTGAATTTAGGTTGTGCATTTGTGAATGTCGTCACTATTATTTTCATCTTTGCTAGTCCATGGTGCGTAACGGCTAGCGCACAGCATGTTCCTCGTATTATCAATTTCTTTTTGTTTTGTTTAAAATGAGAGTCATGTTTTCAGAGGAATTGCCGTCTATAAGCTGAACCCGTTACGCCTTGGGCAACAACAAAAAAATATCATGGGAGCAGATTATTGTGGGCATATACCCATGTATTTGTTTCATACACAGACCGTTTTTCGGTATTAGTTATTTTTTGGAGTGTTGATTTCACTTGTATTTTAGTATTTACAGACATGAATCAAGATGGACCGAACGAAAATAACGGTATCCACCTTCATTAGGTAGAAAGTGCGGTACCTTGACAACCATGAAGTAACTAAGATAATACAGATATTTACGAATACATTTCAAAAACAAAAAAATATACATATGTATGTATAATTAACAAAGCAACAAAAGAAAATCGTTTTTAAAATAGTGTCTTCAAATGGCGAATAAATAAAAGAAGAGGTTGTTTCACATAACTGCATGTATAATAGGTTCGCCAGACCAGACCGCGTCAGACTGTCGCCTCGTATCGCGTTCTTGGCCCCGTACTTCTCCGCATCTATGACCAACCTGTAACGCTGGGTGCACATCCACTGTCTCTCGTGCCTCATTTACATGATGCCTCCCTTTTCTGCACCCCTGGTTTTTCGTAAATAATTCAGGAGTAAATAATTAACGAACGGGGGAATGTTGTATGTGTACTGAGATGTTAAGTCAGGGTACCCGACCCGGAGCCGACTGAGTTGAACATGGCAGAGGTCGATGATTTAAATCACACATTTTTTTAAAATTCGGAACAGTGCTGAAAATTCCATAAATAAATAAATCGGTATGTATTTTTATAAGTCAGCCCCCCCCCCCCCAGGAAGTCCATGTATAGAAGTTAGCAGCCGAATCGCTCATTTAGGCTAAATCCAAAATGGAATGTTTGGTCCTTTAGCGAGCCGGGAAGTTCAATTACCCCATTTTCCCCCTTCAAATTGCATAAGGCGTTAGGATCATACATAAATGTTTAGAAATGGAACACGCATGTGCGACGACCATGTCAGTGGCCGCCGACCTGAGATCAGTATTCTCTCGCTAAATAGGTCAAGTCCGAGAACTTAGGAATCAGAAAGGGGGAAATTATTAAGAAGCAATTACAAAATACATTGTATAAAATTATGCCACATCTGACGTCATATCTCTCGATATGGTGCCATACTATTTTATGATTGGAATGCTTTCCAATCCTCACTTCTTCTTCTTCTTCTTTTTTTTTTTTTTTTTAAATGTGGCTTAAAACATTGAGGTTATGTTTAATTACAAGTTTTATATTACATGTATTCATCAGAGCAGACTGGTATTAATTTGTAATGTTGCTTTCATTTCTATACGAAAGTTCCAAAAATGAAGAGTTTACTTCGCTTTCAGTTTAATATGGCCGACTCGTGAATAAAGTATATAGACGGCTTTGAGCGTTCTTGTCCTATAGCGCCCTCTTTCGGCAATGTTGCCCCTGCTGGAGCGAGGCCGCGTCCATTCGGATCGGCCGAACTCCGAACGTCAACAGTTCGTGCACAGATCCGTCGATTGATTCTGCGCTGCAAGACCAATCGCCCCAGTTGTCTACTACCGGTTCGTTTGCGGTAGGCTGATATGTGAACGAAGAAAGCATAGCATTATGCCAGGTTGGGTTTCGCGAATTCCGGTTTTCTTTCTTCCCAATTTTAAACTGTTCTAACTGTTTTAATCTTTTTAACGGTATTGACGGCAGCATTTGAAGCAAAGTTATGTAGTTCAACACAGAAACTGGTGTATTTTAAGGGGTTAAGCACTGACAAAAAGCACACCGTCTTTCGCAAAATTGGAAGCTGCCATACTACGTGACGCAGTATAGTAAGCTAGTTGGCATCTACCGAGTGGCGCAGAGGTCACATAGAACCATCCCGTGCTTAACGATCGCCCGCCCGGCCTCCCTGAAGAAACACTTTGAAGCTATCACTCCGGTCCCTGTTCCATCCCACGCAATTTGTATATTTATGGCCCTTAATGAGGTGAAACCAGACTCACTCGGACATTTTTACCTTTTATCTTTGTGTATCGTAAAAATAACGACAAATCTTTTCTTTCTGCATACCAAGTCCGTCGACGCCCACCTTCAGTGCCGACGTTTTATGCTGTAGAATCAAACACTGTGTCTCAGCTCACCGTCGGCGGGTGATGGACGTTTTTTTTCATTCTGGCCTATGGTAAGTTCGGGATACCAAGCTTAATTGTCTTTAGGTAAGTAGTCTCTACGAGCAGATGCTGCTTCTTCTTCTTTTTTAAACTGGGCTTCGGTGTGTGTTGTACAAAGACTCATCCTTGCTGCCTCACTTCTTGTATGGCACTGTAGAATTCACTGTTCCTGATCACATTAAATTGTCAGTGAGTTCTGTGATGCCGTGCCCGAAGTGACGGACGATCACCGTGCAAGGCGACAACGTTCACCGGGGGAGAAAGCTTCATGAACCCGGTCAAGACTCGGGAATTTACCGGTCATCAGCCTGTCGATCCATATACCATTGTCCGGTACCTACAATTAATTCTCGGAGCTGTAGCAGGTTAAGCGTACATCCTCTAAAGATCTTCAGTTGAGGGCTCCCTCAAGGGCTCAATCATAAGCCGCCCACATCCTGATTCTATGATCTCAAATTTTGACATATCTTCAAACCCACATGAAGCTCAAAACCCTTTTCTGTTAAATCAGTTAAATATTCTCTGATATACCTTCATTGCTTATATATTTTGACATGCAATCCGTTATTCATTCTTAATTTAAATCCACTTTAATACTCAACCAGATCTTTAACCAATTATTGGAAAGATTACTTCATGAGGAACACTCCAAAAACTGGGTTTAGCACTTGTTAAACAAAATCTTGCTGTCACTTTGTAAACATGTTTGGAAGCTAAACAATACTAACTATTACTGTTCACTATCCATCAATACCCCCTAAACATATTTACAAAGTAATAGCAAGAAAGTGTTTAGAAAAGTGTTTAGAAATTGCTAAACTCAGTTTCTGCAGTGAATGAGAAAGACGTTGGAAAGAAAGTTCCTAATTATTGTTTGTCTTTGGTGCATTTATGAAGGGATATCTGGTCTGTTGGCTTAGCTTATGAGAGATTTTTTAAAAAAATCCTTTTTGGTTGTATGGAGTTCCTTTTTTCTTCTTCTGGAAATGGACCTGAAGCAATCCTAAACATGTTGCCTGCTCCGTATTTGGCACTAGCACATTTTGCTTTTTTGATAACATGCGGCAACTTTTGCTAGTGGCAAAGACGGCGTAGGTTGACGAGCGACCAGGATTACGTCTCACACCTCCGCGGCGTCAGTCGCCTTCCTGTCCCCGGCATTAGATCAGAATACTGGCTAAACGAGGTTTCTTCTTCGAGGTTTCTCCGGTGGACAAAAATCATTATCGTGGACGAATCCGGAAGAATACTCGGCTAATGATGAAACCTTTCACGCCTCGGGATGCCGCGCTTCGTGTTACGTAAGATGTTAGGCCTCGAATCAG